ATGAAAAAAAAAAAAAAGAGTTTTAAGTGGGTCTTACTCATCTATTATGTTATATGTTATGTGGTTAATTAAGTTGAATTATATGTGTTAAATATATTTTTATTTAATAATTTTTATCAAAAATAAAAATGTGTCAATTGTTATGAGACATACAAAAATGAAAATAGTGTCAATTATGGTGGGACGGAGAGAGTATATTTTATGCAACAACAGTAAACAAACAATAAACATACGAAAGAAAAATCAAAGCACGCCTCGTCCAAACATGGAATTAAAAAATTCAGATACATTGAATGGAGACTACAGGCTACCATCACAAATAATACTATTTTAATATTAGAATAAATAAATAAATAAATAAATATAGAGATGACTGCATGGATGACGTATTTTATTTAATTATAAAAAAAGATTCCATTGATCCAATAAATATTCATTCGTATTTCTTAATGCCACCACATAATTAAAAATATTTAAAAAGTCATCCCCACTCCTGGGGAGATTATTTATTTCCTAATTAAAAAAAATTGAAAAAATTATATTTATCTCTGCTGAATTATTTAAAAATTTTCTTAGTCCGTGCCAAAATTTATTATTTTAATATTTTTTTTATGTTCAATTACAAACATTAATTAATAATAATAAATTATAATTATTATATAATTAATAATATTGATAATTTTAAAATAAATTATATGATCAAAAGAATTATAATATGTAATTAAATATTTTAAAAATTATATGACAATAAAAAAAATACATGCAATATAAATATTATTTTGTAAATAATAAAATTTTTTATAATATAAGTAAATAAAAAATACATTCATTTATTTGTAATTAACCTAAACTAATTTTATAAAATATGTGGAATTTTAAATATATATTAAGAAAAATACTACTATTTTTTTTTTAAAGAGAGAGATATAAAAAAATATAATATGTCAATTGTTATGGGACAAAAAATATACTTTCTTCATCCCAAAATAATAATTCAAGCTTTTTATTTTTGTCCGTCCCTAAACAATAGTCATATTTTCATGAATAATTATATTATTATAAAATTATTTATATAATTTTCTAATTATTATTGTATAAATTTCATTACTTCTTACACAAATACACTCATAAGGATATTTTAGTCTTTTACTATTTACTCTATATTCACTTTTTTATAAAAATCTTGTGCCAAACAAAAATGTCCATATTGTTTCGGACCGGAAAAAAAATATTATTTTGTTAATTAAAATAATTAGCCCCTTACCCCCCCCCCCCATATTATTTTACGTTGTAGCTCATTCTTCAAATTATCACGACAAATCACTCGCATATAAATAATATAGAATAATATCATAAACTACTATCATTAACTTAATAACTACACTTTTTTAAAATAATGTACACTAATAAAACGCATCAATTGTCCTGGAATGGAAGGAGTACATTACAATGCTAATATCTCATCATTCATCTACCACTTGTATTCGAAAATTAGGTTTTAGATAGTGGAAAGATGAGAGGAACAACGACGAAAAATATCAAGATTTTTTTTACAATTATAAATAAATGATACCGTGAGAAATCTATCAAAAAAGATTTCTATGAATTGTTAAAAATATACTATTATTATTGTTATTATTGATTAAAGAATGAGAGCGGACAGAAGCTGATATGACACGACAATTCGATACAAAATAATTGAACTTGGGTCAAAGATTTTAACCCGATTATGTATATGGATTGACACAATTCAACACGATAATAAACGAGTCAGGTTAGAGTTAAAGCTCCCGTACCACGGGTAGGAAACACAGACGTATTCAGAACATGGCCGTGAATAGGATATGAACACGGCTATGTTCAATGCAATGTAATGAACACGGCCGTGTTGACTGTCTGAGTTGCTTAGTTAGCTTTCTAAATCATCCAACACGATCGTGTTCATGCCATGTCAGCTACCATGAAACTAAAATTGATAAATTTTAATTTAAAAAGACATGATAATATATATTAATACTATTATAATCTTTTAATAAAGTAATAAATAATTTCAAAATTAACACAATTTTTTAAAATATATGTTTTTAATTGAAATTATGAATTAATTCTAAATTTTCCTTTAATAAAAAAAAATGCAAATAAATTTAATTCAAAAAAATAAAGAGAGGATTTGAACCAAAATATTTGGCAAATGGGACATTAATCCACTCTATATCCATTTTATCTCATTAATATTTTACATTAAACTTGTTAAATTAATAACAAGTAGATATATAACAAAATCATACTAAAATTCGAACAAAATAAAATAAATTGATATTTTAAATGATAATATAATAAAAATTATAAAATTTAAAATATTAATAATATAAAAATAATATTATGCTATAATTATAAAACTAACAAGAATGAAGATGATAATAATAATAATGAATTATAGTATAATGTATTTTTAACTAGTAGTATATTTTTGGTGTTTTATTTAAGAATTTGAATATATATATATATTTTTTTATCTATTTGTATTTCACATAAATTTATATAAATAAATAAAAATTATTTTATAATTCTATGAATTTTATATAAATTCATAAAAAATCTAATCAAATTTATACAAATTCATTTTATCAATAAATAAAATTTATCAAACTCTGCATTTGTGAATTTTCTAAATCCACCAAAATCTATAAAAAATTTTAAATTTTATAAAATCTCAAATTAATATATCTATAAATTAGGCCATCTCGAACTTAAGAATTTCATTTATGCATTATTAACTTTAAACTATAGAATTTCTACAAGTGTGTTTGTTTGGGGGTTTGGATTTTGAGTTGAGATTTAAATAGTAAAAATTTTAAATTTGAATAGTTATATGATGTGATATAAATAGGTGTTGATATGATATTTTGAATGTAAAATTGATTTATAGTATAATATTAAAAATAAAAAATAAGTATTTGATTTGATGGTTTTTGGAGAAAAAAATGGGATGAACAGTGGAAATCTAATCCAATCTCCCAAACAAACACACCCTTAACAGTATTTTTTACTTAAAAAAGAAATATTTTTAAAATATAATATTTTAAACTATTTTTTATATTTACAATTAATATTATATTTAAAAGATAAAATAAAAATGAAAGAATTAATATGCAAAAATAAAAAACAATAACGCCAAAATTGATGTTGCTGCAGTACAACAGCAAAATCAACCCTGGAAAGCTCCGACTATCTGTACTGACAAATTGGGTTCCTACTTATAAAACATATTTTTGCCGAACCGGGTTGACCTAACCCAAGCTTATTTCGGCCTAAGTCCAGTATTTTGTGCAGTTTTCAGGCCATGTCCATTTTATTATTTATAAAACAATATCAATGTTCAATCTGCACATTTTTAACTAAGAATGTATTTCTTACCCAATACAATAGTCTTATTTTACTATTTTTGTTTGTTTTAAAATAATAGTCTTATTTTTATAAATAACTATATCACCATAAAACTACCCGGCCACTACTTTTTACACTAATACATTCACAAGGGCAAAAAAAATTTTTATCTACTTTTTACCGACTACCAATATAATATCAATATTCCTTAAATCTCATGTCCAACCCAATTAACACTGTAGTTGTTAGACACAGGGAGTATTAAATATAAATTAAAATATTCTTTAAAAAAAGTTCAAATAAATATTTCATTTCAAATTAATTTTAAACCACAGTCCCTTTTTCTTCTTTCCACTATTTTTGGAATTCTTTGGGTTTGTTCTATTACAAATCAGTCCAAATGTTGTTTAATTTCCAACTAAATCTACGACTACTTCGTACAATATGAAAGATATCATTTGTTTTCTTTTACTACCTCCCACTACAACAAAAAATCATTTTTGTAACAAAATATTTTTGTCTCTAAATCTATTTTTTCCGTTACTAATGACATTAGAGACATAATTAGGAATAAAATTACGTTAGCTATGTGAACTTTATGGACGAAATTCCGTTACAAATATATTATTTTTTTGTAGTGTCCGTTCCACTCTAGAGGTTTATTTATTTTATTTATTTTTTTGTATGTTGATCTTTGAATATTAATTATTATATCAAAATATAATACAAATTAAGAAAAAATTGCAAAAATACTTTCATTAGTGTCTTATAATACTGATAGAAGAACATTTGTAAAAAAATAAAATAAAATTTAATGTTAAGTATAATGACGCAAAAGATAAAAGTAACACACATATCAAAATATTATTTAAATAAAAATTTAAATCAACATTCTATATTTTACCTCTTTTTAAAATACACATGTGTTATTATCGATATTTTAATTGATGTTTTTTCTAATTAAAAATGAAAGGTATGCTCTTTTTGTAAAAAAAAAAAGTAAACATATTTCTAAAAAAATTAATATATTATATGCATTCATTATTTTTATATTGCTTATACAATTTTCTATACCTAATATAAAAAAATATATTTTTAAACAATTTTACTAAACAAACACATCCTTAATTTAAATGATAAATTAGGGTGCTGAAATGGGATAATTAACACCAGAGTGATTATCCTATTCAGAACATCAAGGGTGTGTTTGTTCGGGGGATTGGATTAGATTTCTACTATTCATCCCATTTTTTCCCCCAAAAACATCAAATCAAATACCTAATTTTTATTTTTTATATTATACTAAAAATCAATTTTACATTCAAAACATCACATCAACACCTATTTATATCACATCATACAACTACTCAAATTCAAAATTTTTACTATTCAAATCTCAACTCAAAATCCAAACCCCCAAACAAACACACCCAATATAATTTAAAGGCACATACTACAATATGTACCTGCTGCCTATTTTATTTTATTATGAACTATATCTGCCGCAGCTGCAATGTGCTAATAAACAACGCATAATATTATTATTGATAATACATTATTTATATTAATATAATGCAAATATAATACAAAAACACATGATATAATTTCACAAAACACATGCAATAATAGATTTTAGCACCTGATATAGTATTATACAATATACGGTGTAATTATGAACAAATAACGCATGTCTTTATTACAAAATGCACATACTGTTTATAATAAAAGAATATAATATTTTTATATTTTATGCGTGCCTAACATTGTGCAACAACTTCCCAATAATAATCAAAACATTATAAGAATAGATCTAACGGATTACGTTCTAATTTATAAACGTCGATACTAACCGGATTTCAAAGCTTGAGAAATTGCTCGAATCGTTGAAGGCGTGGTTCTACAACAACCCCCGATGAGTTTGGCACCGGCGTCTCGCCATTTTGTCACAAGCACAACAAAATCTCCATCATCAAAGCACATCGATGGCTGCCAACACAAATATATTTTCCCATTCAAGATGGGCGCGGAAAAAAATCTAAAAATTCGGTTACAAAAGTACAACTAACCACCCATCTCTTAGCAATGCCATCCCAAATCTCTCCACTATTGGGGTACACGACAATTGTCTTATTTGTAAACTGCAAAAAGAATATATATACCAATAACACATGAGATATAAATCGACAAGACAAAGTATATATTAATATAATAAATACAATATATGAACAGACCCATACTATAATTGATCTCAGCACACAAACTATATTAACCCATCAAATATACTCCACCCGTCCAAAATACTCGTCCCAATTTTTCTTTTTCGACACTTAACTCATATTTGATAACTTTTTAATAAATTTATCACAATTCCCATTTTTACTTCGTGCCTAGATACAGTGGGAGTATAAAATAACACATATTAACAATCTATATAGGTGTTAGTTAGCATGTGTTGTTAAACTATATTCGAATAGGACTAATTAGAACCCTAATCCAAACGAAATTCGAATAATTAAATTTCATTACCTCCTTGAATATATGGATAAGGTTTAGAACAAAATGGGGTGGAGCACAGTTTATCCCAACTGCACATACTCTGCTGCTTTGATTGATCACATTAAGGCATTCCTCGAAGCTCTCCCCCGAGGGAGTATTTGCACCGTCGACTGAACTGAAACAAATCCACGACGGAATCTGAGAGTCTTCTTCATCTAGAAGCTCAACAATAGCCTGAAACAGTGCCAAGATCAGCCACATTGTCTAAGCTAAATCGAATGAGATGAAATCATTGAAATGGACTGGTTTTGGAGGTCTTGTTTGCAGACCTGAGTCTCTAATTTGTTTGGAATCGTCTCGAATGCTAGAAAATCGGGCTGTGCTTGCAAGAGAATTTGCAGCCTGCGGCGATGGAAGTCTTTCAGCTTCACGAGATTCACATTGGTTCCATAATCCCCACTGCAGAGATGAGAATTATGAAATTGAAATGCAATGGTAAGATTCAATTTCTTCTCAATAACATGTAAATGGTAAAAAATTGACTAAACAAACAGATTATCAAAGGAAGGTTATATATATAATATACGGACCGGTATTCAGATCCATCTGCTAGATATGCACCGTAGCTGCCAATGGAGGCAGCAACCAGAGGTATGTTGTGATCATGGCTTGATTTAGCCTTTATTGAGTTCCAAAACTTGTCGCGAACTTCAATGGCGATTTCGACACTTTTTTTAAGCAGTGATTCTGCTTCTTCAATAGACAGTCCCTTCGATTGAAATCCAGGCAGAGTTGCCTGTTCGAAGGGATAACAGTAACATTTGAAATGCGTAATTCAACATCTAATGAATTTTTTAGGTTTCGGAAGATGCAATTAACCTGATACGATGACGTTAAAATTACATCTGCGCCAGATTCAAGGAACTCCAAATGCACCTGAATTGAATTTACCGAAAAGGACGAGGATGAGTGTTCCGACCGCCATTAGAGAGGAATCGAAAGCATAAACTGAATTGAAAACTGAAAGTGAATCGAAAGCATAAACTGCAAATGCTTACACGCTTGATTAGGTCGGGATCTCTGAGGAGGCAAAGAGCGCTCCAAAGAGGATCGTTAATGGAGGCGCCGTGACTCTCGAGCTGGGTGGCGAAACCGCCGTCGACGACGGCGCAACCGCCGGAGCTTCTGATGAGATTTTCCAACACATTTCCAGTTTCCACTCCCATAACTAATGAATGAACGAAATAGAAACAAAAATTTGGGGGTGAAATTTGAAAATGAGGGATTGAAAAGGGTTGGAGTTGGTGAAGAACTGGATGGAGCTGAGGGAAAATGGAATGGCGTACGGTACAAGTGAAGAATGAACTTGGACGGATTCCTGGTTCTTGTTAGTTGGCGTACACTCTGACTCTCCACGTTTTCTTCGACTTCCCCCCAACGACAATTTCAATTCTGGACGCGTATATCGACCGTGTTTATTTATTTATATTTATAGTTTGTTTTTTGTTTAATGTTTTCATTTCACTTTTTTTTTTTTTTTTTTTTATATAAAAAACTCTCAGGGTGTGTGTGTTTGTTAGGAGGTTTGGTTTTTGAGGTAGATTTGAATAGTAAATATTTTAAATTTGAATAGTTTTATGATGTGATATAAATAGTTGATGATGTGATGTTTCGAATGTAAAATTGATTTTCAGTATAATATAAAAAATGAAAAATATGTGTTTGATTTGATGTTTTGGGAAAAAAAATTTAGATGAATAGTATAAATCCAATTCAATCTCCCAAATAAACAGACCCCTAGGTTTTGTTTCTTTACGTGAATTTGGGAAAATTTGAGTTTGGATTTGATTTTTATCTGAATTTTGAGTTTGAGTTTCAATTTTGATATTTCTTTTGTATTTATGTTTGATTGGAAGTTTCGAAAGTTTTGATATGAATGATTTGATGAGTAAAAAATATAATAATATAAATACGTATTAATTTGTATAATTTAATTATAATTTTATATTATATTTACATATATATATATTTAAGTTTTTATTTATCTGTATTATAATAAAATTAATTTTTCTACAAAATATTTTATTAAATTATACATATTATAAAAAATTTATATTTATATTTATAATTTAAATAAATAAAAAAAAGGATAGCTCTATGCAATGGCCAGAGCTTGTCGGGTACAACTATTGTTGGCTCAGTTTGGCGTCTAAACCCAGGTCAACAGTAATTCCACAGTAATTTTGGCCAAAATATTACTTTATCAGTCCCAAATAAATTTTGTCTGTCCATATAACTTGTGTTTTTCTTTTTTTGGAAATATGATCATCCCCTTCCATCATACTTTAAATTTTAAATTTTATAATTTTTTTTATCTTAATTAAACTATTTACTTATCTTAATCTATAATTATTTTTACTAATATACTTTTTAATTAACTACTAATTATACTTTACCTAAATTCTCGTATCTACAGTAATAGACTCAAAATATATGGGACGTAGTAATAATAATAATAATAATAATAAGAAGAAAACTTGCAAAAGTCAGGATAAAAGTGTTTAATGGAAAATAATAATATTAACAAATAATGGCAAAATAATAATAATAATAATAATAAGAATGATGAGTAAGTTTGTCGATCAAAGATGGAGTATAATTTTATTAATAAAAACGATGAAAACTGCAATTAAAGAGGAATAATTAAATTTGTATAAGTTGGAAAAACAAACAATTCAAAAACAAGAAAATTAAAAATAAATCTAATTTGTTAGACTGTTTCGAATTAAACACAAATTTTGTTCGTATTTCGAAACAAAATAGATAAAATAAAATTGAAATATTACGCCATTGATCACCTCAAATGTAAAATCTATATATTCTCCCAAAACAATTTGAAATATATATATATAAATTTAAAAAAAAATTAAAAATGCTATTCCTAGATAAATATTACGTGCAATATTGTGGCTATAAATTGAATGTAAGATATGAAATTATATATATATATATACCAATATAATAAAATAAGTATAAATTTAAATGTAAGATATGAAATATATATATATATATATATTTAGGGTGTGGTGGTTTGGGGGTTTGGATTTTGGATTTGGATTTGAATAGTAAAAATTTTAAATTTGAATAGTTGTATGATGTAATATAAATAAGAATTGATGCGATGTTTTGAATGTAAAATTAATTTTAAGTATAATATAAAAAATAAAAAATAAATATTTGATTTAATATTTTTAGAGAAAAAATTTTGTGAGAACAGTAGAAATCCCACAAAATCTCTCCAACAAACGCACCCTTAATAAACTAAAATAAGTATATTACTTTATTTGATTTTGTTTATTAGCCACAAGAATTCCAACATTCTTGGATCACCACTCCGACCATTTCATATATATATATACATTTCAAGAAGAAATACTCGTTTTATCTTATCTTATTTTATTTTATTTTTTATTTTTTATATTTACTTTTTGTTTTTTACTTTTTATCAGTCTTGCAGACAATAGAATAAAATAACAACGTTTACAAGAGCGGTGTTCCATTTCCATGGAAGCCGCTCTATCTCCGGACATAGTTTTAATATTATTGTCCAGATATTCGATTAGTTGTTAGAATATATTTTTGTAAAATATATAAATTATTGTAATAATATCCTATCATATCATAGAGGGAATATAATTCCTCCGTACATAATTTTTTCTCCTTAATTTTTAGTTTTAGTTTTTTTTTCCATTCTTTTTAATTTTGTTGTTACTTTCACCAGAATTTAAATATTTTATTTAAATTCTGGTGACTACAAGGACAAGAAGAAGAAATAATTAGAAAAAGGAGAGGAAGAGGAAAAGATGGCCGTAAAGAGTCGTTGTACTTCCTCTTCCCCTCCGCAAAATGATCAATGGTTTAAGGGCAAATTGATCGGTTCGGGATCGTTCGGTAACGTTAATCTCGCCATCGACAGTGTCACCGGAGCGCTTTTTGCGGCGAAATCTGCCAAATCGGAAGCCGGAATCTCCTCCCTCGAGCACGAGGCCGACATTCTTTCGAACCTCGATTCTCCGTACATCGTCAAATTCATCGGGAAAGACGTACCCGTATCGAAAACCGGTAACGGCGCCGACTACAACGTTTTCTTCGAGTACATGGCCGGAGGAAGCTTGTCCGACGTCGTGCAAAACTTCGGCGGAATGCTCGACGAGAGGCTTATCCGTCTCTACACTCGCGGGATCCTCCGAGGCCTCGAGTACCTCCACGGAAACGGGATCGTACATTGCGACATCAAGTGCAAGAACGTGCTCGTCGCGGCGTCCGGCGCCGTAAAATTGGCCGATTTCGGATGCGCCACGAGGCTAACATCCGACGCGTCGAAAATGCCGTCGTCCTTGTCGAAGCCTCGCGACGCCGGAACCGGGGGGACCCCTCTTTGGATGGCCCCCGAGGTTTTGAGGAACGAAACGATCGATTTTTCCGCGGATATTTGGTCGGTGGGATGCGCCGTCGTCGAAATGGCGACAGGAAGGCCCCCTTGGGGGGGCGACGAGGCGAATCCGACGGCTGCGATGATCAAGATCGCGAAAGGGAACAACGTCCCCGATTTCCCGCGGAATTTTTCGCCCGAAGGATTGGATTTTTTGTCGAAATGTCTCGAAAGGGATCCGCGGAGCCGATGGACGTGCCGGAAGCTTCTCGACCATCCGTTTCTCGCCGAGAAAAAAATTACGAATGCGTTGGACGACGCAAGATCGCCGACGAGCGTTTTGAACGGTCCGGATTACGACGACGACGGAGAAGAAGAAGATGAGTTTTTGAAGAGAATAGAGGCAGTTAGAGGGAGGTGTGTTATGGAGATGAAAGGAGTTGTGAAATGCGGAGAAATTGCGACGGAATTTGATGATAAGTGTAATGAGGGTTGGGTCACTGTAAGAAGCCATACTTGAGAATGGAGATGGTGATAGATACACACAAAATAGATACATACATACATACATATATATATATATATGTACATACATGGATAGAGCAGGTTTTTGTTCATGTTTGTACAGCACACAAGATTTAGACATGTTATTTGTTTATTTATTAGGGTATCGAATTAAATCTGTACGTTCTAAGTTGTTTAATTTGCTGTGTGTGTGTAATGACTCTACTGACTCGATCGACTGAATTAATCGTTGATTTGTGTAAGGACGATTTAAAGAAATAATATTATTAGTGACGCGAGATTTAAAGAAATAATATTTAATTAGTTAATTATTATTATTATTATTATTTTATAATTAACAATATTTATAATTTTAAAATAAATTTGATATATATGAACAAAAAAATTTAAATTTGTATTTAAATTTTAAAAATTATATCGTAATAAAAAATACATGTAATATGAATATCACTTTGTAAAAGAATAAAAAATTTTACTCCCTTCATCTCACATACCTTGTCTCTGATTTCGTCTGTCTCACATAATTTGTCCTTTCTATATTTGAAAATATAATTATGTATTTTATTCACATTTTAAATTTTAAATTTTATAATTTTCTAATTAGATTATTTACTTATCTTAATTTTAATCTTAATTTATAATTATTTTTACTAAATAATAATTATTTTTACTAATACATTTCTTAATTACCAATTAATTATATTTTACCTAAATTCTCGTATCTACACTAATAATCCCAAAATATCTTGGACGGAGAGAGTATAATACAAGTAAATAAAAAATATTTTTTTATTTATTTATAATTACCATAAACTAATTTTATAATAGATGTAGAGTTTTAAATATAGATAAAAGTATTTATTTTAAAAAAAATAAAAATTAATAAAATTGTCAAAAAAATAATAAATAAAAAATACTCCCTCCGTCTCATATGCTGTGTCTGCTACACTGTAGACACCGTATTTTTTAAGGGGTATAATTAATAGATAATTAAAAATGTATTAATAAAAATAATTATTCTATAATATAAATAATTATAAATTAAGATTAAAATAATTAATTAGTTTAATTAAAATTTAAAAATATACATTAAAAAGTTTAAAATGAGATTAAAGTGTGTAATCATTTTCCAAAAAATAAAAGTGATATGAAATGTGGGACGAACAGAAACAACAACATGGACATAGTACCTAGGACGGAGGGAGTAGTATATATATATATATATGACTGTTATTATTTGAATATTAAAATACAATATTATTACATTAGTATATTATTTATATTAATATAATTCATGTTTATATTTATATCGGACATACTATTTGTGAGTTAACCGGATGGTTTATTTCTTTTATTTTCTATTAATTAAGTTAACATAATTTATTTTTATTATTATTATTTTAGTGTTTCAAATTATTAAATAATGATGTTATTGATTCTATTATTTGCGTGGATAAAAATTGTGATTTTTTTTTTTTTTTTTCATAAACGATTTGAATTTAATTGTGTGCGCATGCTATGTGCATATTTATAGAAAATTTAAGGATTAAGATGCAAATTTTGGACAAAAGAAAAAAGTGTAAATTTTCAACAAGTTAAATTATTTAATTATTACATGAAGAATAATTAAGATATGCGCATATGTTTATATTTTAATTTAAAGATTGATCAAAAATTATTTTCGATCTCATTATATATATCATAATTATCATAAAATAAATCCATATAAATCGGAAAAAAAAAAAAAAAAAATCAATGAAAAGTACGAAAAAGCAAAAGTCATTTATAAAATCAACAAAAAAAAGTCCTTAAATATCCTAATGATTATTCACTTTAATCATATTTTAAAATAATTATATTATACTCTCTCAGTCCCACATAATTTGTCATTTTCTTTTTTTTTTGAAATATGATTATCCACTTTAATCACATTTTAAATTTAAATTTTATAATTTTTTTAATCTTAATTAAACTATTTATTTATCTTTATCTTAATTTATAATTATTTTTATTAAATAATAATTATATTTACTAATACATTTTTTAATTACCTACTAATTATACTTTACCTAAATTATCATATATACGCTATAGGCCCAAAATATGTGGGACTGATGGAGTATAATTTTATCAAACGTTATTTTTTTTAGTTAAACTATATATCATCACAATTCTATTTACATAATTTATATAAAAGATCTATTTCATGAAATTAAATGGCTCTTGGTGCATCCATGTTTTTTATTGTTGGGCTTTTATTGCCTTTGGGCCTTGGCCCGTACATTATAGTTTTTTCGTTCACTTTCTATTATTTTAAAGTATATTTATACTCCCTCCGTCCCAAAAAAAAGTATCCATTTGTTTTTTGCACGTAATTTTAGAAATATTAATATTATATTGGGATATAATAGGAATAAAGTAGAAATGACTAAAATAACCTTGTTAGTATGTGTGATATAAAGGTAATGACATTTGTGTAATATATTGTAAGTTCTAAGGGTATTTGTAATGTTAGGTAGATAGTACATTTACTAAAAAAAAAAAATGGATACTTTATTATGAGACCGACTAAAATGAAAAAATAGATACTTTGTTATGGGACGGAGGAAGTACGATTTTTTAATAATTGTATTTTTGTTATGAATTAACTAATTTACCATTTATGATAATGCAAAGATTAAACGTTGTAAATAAATTAAAGATTAAAAAAATAAAATTTGCCTTTAAAAAAGTGAAATAAGACAATAACTATAAAACGTCTCGAATTAAAAAAATAAAAATAAAAGGTGTATTTCTCCGGTCCAATTTTGGGCCGGATTACAGTACAAACAGGGCTAGAGTGGTTTAGGGGGGTGGGGTGGACCCTGACAGCCTGTAAGCGGCTTTTTTTTTTTTTTTTTTTTTCTTTTTGATTTTTTAAAATTATAAATATAAAAAAAAAATTATAATAATTATTATTTAATAAAATATATATAATATATATTATTTTGTAGATAATAATATTTTTATAATGTAAACAAATAAAAATTTAAAAATGTATATGCAAGTATATTGTAAATTTATAATTAAATTATACAAATTTATATTATTATATTTATTACCATAAACATCAAAACTCTCCAAATTCAACTAAAACCTAAAGACAAAAAAAATACATAAATTCAAATTCACTTTAAAATTCAAATAAAAATTAGTATATATTTAAATATTTAATATATATGATTAAAAATTTAAATATATGTTTAAATATTTAAAAATTATATTGCAATTAAAAAATATATGCAATATGGATATCATTTTGTAGAGAATAAAATCTTTTATAATTAAGTAAATAAAAAAATATTTTCATTTATTTATAATTAACATAAATCAATTTTATAAAAGATAGTAATTTTAAATATAGATAAAAATATTTATTTTTTTTAAAAAAAGTATAAATAAAGGAGTTTTGAATGGGTCTTACGTCATTTATGATGTTGTATGTTACGTAGTTAATTAAGTTAATTTATATTTGTTAAATATATTTTGATAAATTTTTTTACCAAAAATTGAAAAAAAATTTAATTATTATGAGACATAAAAATAAAAATAGCGTCAATTATGATGGCACGGAAAAAATATTAATTTATGGTCGAAGAGAATATTATATTGTGGATATATTTATTTATCTTGGTTGTAATAGGGTGGGTAGGTTGGGGGAGGTGTCGTGGCTTCCGAGACAGTTGTTGTTCTGTAGCATAAGTTGAAAATTATTGAGTGATGGGCTTAACAGGTAGGTAGGCCCACATTACATTAGAGGAATATTTAAGGTGTGTTTGTTTGAAGGATTTTGGTGGATTTCCACTATTCATCCAATTTTTTCCCCCCAAAAACATCAAATCAAACACTTATTTTTCATTTTTTATATTATACTAAAAATCAATTTTACATTCAAAACATCACATCAAATCCTATTTATATCACATCATACAATTATTCATACGACTTGCGCACTTTTCGAATAACGTTGCAAATTCTAAAGTTATTAATATATAGATAAATTATTTAATATTATTATATTTTAATAAAAATATATAAAATATTTCGTATTTTATTTATTGCATAAAAATTTATTGTGTTATACTCCCTCCGTCTCTTAATTATGTATCTGTTTGTTTTCTGCACAAAGTTTTAAAGATATTAGTATTATATTATAGTGTCGTACGAATGCAGTAAAAAATACTAAAATAACCTTATTAATATTGTTTGATATAAAGGTAATTACATTTGTGTAATATATTATAAGTTGTAAATGTATTTTTAATATTAGTAAAAAATACAGTTACTAAATAATGAAATGGATACTTTGTTATGAGACGGATCAAAATAGAAAAATTGATATATTGTTAAGGTACGGAGGGAATATTAAAATTTGTACAAAAGACTCTCTTTGTCCAAAACTAATATTTTAATGTAAAAATGAATATAACTCTGTAAGTTTTATACAAATAAAATATGTAAATAGATTAAATAATCTATTTTTTAATAAAATAAATAAATAAATAAATAAATGATTAATTTTTTATTTTATAAATTTTTTAGGAAAAACTATTACCTATTTTTACAAAAATTATAAAAATAAAGAATTGATAAATTATTGCTTTATTTTATTAAAAAGAAAAGACTATTTAATATATTTACATATTTTATTTGTATAAAACTTGCATAATTTAGATCTATATTTACAATCAAATATCAATTTTAGACGAAGATAGTACTTTATGCAAAGTTTAATACTCCCTCCGTCTCAATACAACAGTCTTGTTTACTATTTTTGTTCTTCCCAAATCAATAGTCTTATTTCCATAAATAATCATATCACCATAAAACTATCCCATTTTTTTTTTTTTATTATACAATTGCTACTTCTTTTTACACTAAGAGTGTGTTTGTTTGGAGGATTGGATTTAAATCCAACTATTCATCCAATTTTTTCCCCCAAAAAACATCAAATCAAACACCTATTTTTTATTTTTTTGTACTATACTAAATATTAATTTTACATTCAAAACATCACATCAATAATACATACTTATATCACATCATACAACTATTTAAATTCAAAATTTTTACTATTCAAATCCCAATCTAAAATCCAAACCCCCAAACAAACACACCTTAATACACTCGCAAAGGCAAAAAAGTCTTTTATCCATACTTTTTACTCACTACCAATATAATATTAATATTCCTTAAATCATGTGTCCAACCTAATTAAGACTATATTGATGGGACGGAGGAAGTATAGCACAAGGAGATTTCAAGTAATAAATAAAATATAAGATATTTTCTACGTTTTTACTAAGAAAGGGTATATATAATTTACCCTAAATATATATATATATATGATGAAATAGATCGAGAGATATATATACCAAAAATATTAGTAATATATATTGTATATATATATATACTCCCTCCGTCCCGAAAACTAAGTATCCATTTATTTTTTGCACGTAGTTTTAGAAATATTAGTATTATATTGGGATATAGTAGGAATAAAGTAGAAATGACTAAAATAACCTTATTAGTATGTGTAATATAAAAATAATGGCATTTGTGTAATATATTGTAAGTTGTAAGGGTATTTGTAATGTTAGATAGAAAGTACAGTTACTACAAAAGAAAATGAATACTTTGTTATAGGACGTGCTAAAATGAAAAAATGAATACTTTGTTATGGAACGGAGGGAGTATATCATATCAAAAAAGTTATAAATTTATATCGAAAATTTTAGTACAATGATTGTACAAAAATAATTGTTGTGGTGTATTTAAATAGTATCTTGAATGTAATATTTTATAATATATAATTTATTAAAAACTTATAAAGTTCTATAGAAAAAAATAAATAAATAAATAACTTCAAATTAAAGTAAACAAAGCGTCGGTATCCATATATATATCCTACAGATTGCCTATCAATGTCATACTAAAAATTTGCAGTATAGAGACCTTCGTCCAAACAAAAAATAATTATTTTGTAATTTTCGATTAATTATATACACAAAATATTTATTTTATTTATACTTATAAAGCAAAAAATTAAAATTATTTTATATATTTTTTACTAATTAATAAAATATTATTATTTTTTAATTTATTACGAGTAAGCTGATACATTATGTTAGAATCAGAGAGTACTTATTTGTATAAATTTTATTAAATCAAATTAAAATGTATAGATCATGTAATTTATATGTATATATATATATTATCATCGACTATTATTTTAATAATTTTTATTAAACTGTGTAAAAATAAACAATTACGTTGAGTGGACAAAAATAATACGATTAAAAATATTACTAAATTACACAAAATCTATTTATAATTTCATGAAATTGCGCTAAATCCTCTATACTTTTAAAACTGCGTCAAATTCGCTTATGGTTTCATAAATTACGTGTCTAATCCCCTCGGCGGTCTTTATTTAATGGTATTTGACATATATGCGTCCAAACTGCGAATAAATGTTTTAATCTCAATTTCTAAATCCGTAAAATTACAAATATATTTATTTTTTTAATATTTAACATAAAAAAAAAATATATACTCAAAAATAATTATTTTTTTCAAGTTTTAATAGTTTATATCTACTATTTTTTAAGGTTAAAATATAAGAAAAATAAATATATTTGTAATTTTAGGGATTTAGAACTTAAGATTTTACAATTTATTCCTAGTTTTGGTGCATTTAGTCCAAATACCTTTAAATAAGGACTCTTGAATGTGTTAGACGTAGAGTTTATGAAACCACGAGGGAGTTTGATACAATTTTAAAAGTATGAAGAATTTGACACAATTTCATGATACACAGGTGAATTTTGTGTAATTTAGCCTAAAAATATTGAATTTATATATATATATATATATGGACAATTTTAAATATTTTTCTCCATATTTAGGAATATCGATCAACTATTGGACCATCATCTTCATGTTCATCTTTTATGGGGACTGTGCCTTCATGCCTTCTTTATCTACATATAATTATTTATTTTTTATATTATTATTATAGCTATTTATTTATATGTGTAATATAATTAATATTTATTACGAGTGCAATATAATAATATATCTTTTGTTCAAATACATGAACTGACTGAATTGGCTTCAATCACTACCCATGCATAATATTTATTATGAAATAATTAAAAATGGCTTTTACATTTTTTTAAAAAAATTTATTAAGAGTTATTTTTCTGCTTTATAATAAGAAAATTGAATAAATAATAATAATAATAATAATAATAATAATAATAATAATAATAATAATAATAATAATAAATTTTCTGCTTCTAAATTTTAAAAATAATAATTATCTCTTTAGTTTATATATATATATATATAAGTTTGGTCTTATACAAGTGGATCTACTATCTAAATAATTTATTTTTTACCCATGCGAAACCATATAATATAGTAATAAATTAGAGAATAAAAAAATCATTTTCATAACATTTATTTAAAAAAAAAAAGTTATTGAACAATTAAATACCCACTTAATAAATATTCTTCCGTCCAAAAAGATTTGTCTTATTTTTTCATTTTCGTCTGTCCCAAAACAATTGTCTTATTTCCTTATTTAGTAGTCATGGTCTCTACTTTATAACAAAATTATTTTTATTTTTCCATACTACCCCTAATTATTATTCTAACATACTCTTTAAAATCCTTCAAAAAATTAAGGACATTTTAGTCATTTATATTCTACTTTATACCAACTTTTAATTAAATACTATTATTTCTTAATTCCCATGTCAACTCTCAATAAGAAGACGGAGGAAATATTATTATATAATATTTAAATTTGCATACATTATAATCGTCAGTTAAAATATATTTACATATAGTATAAAATAATTAAGTCTAGAATATCTTTAACTCAAACACACAAAAATATGCATATATATATATATGGGGACCATATTTTCATTTTTATTTTCATTTTTTTTTTTTTTTGTGATATCGACCAATCACCAATTTTCATATATGAATTGATTTTTTATAAGATATTAATAATTTATAATTCCAGTTATAATCAAAAAGCAAAAAGTTGTTAGAGATGCAATTTATAAACAAATGTCTAATTCTAAAATAGAGCTTTATTTGGTCATTCTAAAACTAATGAAATTTAAGAAAAAATAATGAGAACACAAAAAAAATAAATAACTATGTGACAGTTTATGACTTTTGGATACTACATTGCAAAGTGTTTTTATAAAATATAGTATTATTTTTATTATAAAATATTACTGTCATTAAAATGATCTACGCTGGGGTGCTGTCAAGCCAGAAATTTTATTATAAAATACGCAGACGCGTGTTAAAAAGTAAGAATACATGGATATTTATAGTTAAATCTATGTCAATAATATCCAAATCCTATATCTAAAATTTAGAATATAACATTTAAATTATATCCCTAAATTTTAGGATATAATTAAATTTCATATCTCAACAATTAAATTAAAATATTATCTATACAAAAATTCAAATTAAAATTTTAATATCTAATCAAAACCAAATACACCCAAAATCTTTTGGGCACGAGTAGAGAGAATTAAACATAAGACAAAATTTAGCAAGAAAAAAAGAGTAAAAAAAAAAAATTAAAAACGAGTATATGGAAATAAAAGTATAAAATTTGGATTTGTTTACTTACTATTTAAGTTTGCGATATAATTTTTACATGAATACGATAATTACATCGATAATATAAAAAATAAT